TGGGGCGTGGTTCTTAGCCAGGCCCCAGGGATTTCCTTCTGCCCATACCAGCGGGAATTCCTTCTCTAGTTCAGGATCTAATGGTGAGTCCTTTGACTGGGAGGTATAAAGTCTCCATTCTTCCTCCCTAGATACTGCTAAAAACAGGATCATTGGAGAGGTCTCCTCACCTAAGTGCAGTTGTGCTGAGCCGTCAGGGCAAAGGTGGTTTCTGCTCCCATTTTGGCTAAAAGGTTTTTGCCCATTATAGGGACCGGACAATCTGGCAAATACAGGAATTCATGAACCACCGGGTGGCCGCCGAACTGACATCAGCAGGGGCAGTAGAATGGTCTGCAGCTGTGGTCCCCGGTAGCTCCAATAATGGTGACTTTCCGTCCTGAGAGGGGAGCTGCTTTCTGAGTAACTACCAAGTGCTCTGCCCCTGTATCAACCATAAAGTTTACAGTCTGGTTCCCGATTTTCATTTCAACCAGGAGCTCATGGGGGCCCAGTTGGAAAGAGCCCAGTCTGTCCTAGTCAAAGTCAGCTGCCGCCCGTCCAATGAGGTCTGCCTCAGGCGGCTCTGGCTGATAGCGGCTGGGTGGTTTGGATGGCCTTGCCTGCTTCTGGTGGCTCAGGCGTTCATTCTTCCAGTGCCCTACTTCTTTACATTAGGCACACTGGTCCCATTTAAGATCCATCCTTTCTTTTCCTGACTTGGCTCCTTGCTGTCTCCCTTTTCTGGAAGTTAGGTTTTATAACAGCTACAGCAATCAGCGTCACTTTCCTTTTTAGTTTTTCCTCAGCCTCTTTTTTTAGCCACATTGTCCCAATTAATGAAAACCTTGTTTGCTATTTCTAGTAGCTCAGTTGCATTCTTTCCCGCAAATCCTTCAAGCTTCTGTAGCTTTCTCCTTATGTCTGGCTGAGCCTGACTAACGAAGGCTGCATTGACCATAGTTTGATTCTCTGAGGCCTCTGGGTCAAAGGGAGTGTAAACTCAATATGCTTCACAGTGTCTCTCATAAAAGGCTGCCAGACTTTCATAAGGCCTCTGGAAAACCTCAGAGGTCTTGGCCATATTAGTAGGCTTCTTGGCCCCAGCCCAGAGCCCCTGGAAGAAGGCCAGCCGATATCTCTCTTATCTGGCCCTCCCATCCTCCGAATTCAGGTCCCATCTGGGTTCCATACCTGGGAGAGCCTCCCTGGCCCATCTGTCTGTGTCTAATGTCCCTGGCAGGGCCTGGGTCTAGAGCCATTTCCAAGCTTCTGTTATTATTCTCATGTGCTCCTCAGTGTTAAAGAGTGTGAGAAGGAGTTGCTTGCAGTCGATCCAAGTGGGCTTATGGGTCTGAAAGATTGGCTTGAGGTTTTTAAGAATAAATGGGAGTATGATGCTTCCAATCTAAGATATCGGTCATAGTGAAAGGCTGGTAGTAAATGACCGATCCCTCCTCTTGTGGGGTCCTGTTTTCTCCAATTTATGAGGACCCTGCATTTCTCGGAGAACCATCTGGAAAGCCGGGAGTGGTTTGGGTCCCTGATCAGCTGAGTGCAAACATCGTCCAACTGGCTCTGGAGAGTCCGGTTGCGGGGAGATGGAAGGAGGTGGTGTATCTAAGCTTCCCTGGCTAGGCAAAGGGGCACTGGGTACCACTTGAGGCACATATGGAGGTAGTAGAACTGGCAGGGCTTCCTCAGGGTGTTCCTGCAGGATAGGAGGCTTATTCCCCTTCTGAGGGTCCTGCCCTTTTTCCTTATATACACAAAACTGGATCCAAAATGGCTTAAGCTCTGCTATCTCTAGCCTTGGTCAATATATGGGAACTGGTTGGGATGACCTGGGTCTCCTGTGATAATTCTGTGAACATTCCTCATTGTGGGGGACATCCAATGTGCCCTCTGGTGGCCATCCTACTCCAGAAGATGGCCAGTCTATTTCACACATCCTTTTTTAATTCCCAGGGGAGTAGTTTTACTCGGTAGTCCCCAACAAACCCCTTTTTAAAATTCCTTAACATACATTTTAAGACAGAGTTTGAGGAGGAGCTATTACCCATGTTGCAGGGGGGGACCAGGTTGCCTCCTCTTTAAAAAACAAAAAAACAAAAACCTGAATAAAAGAACTAATCAAAATAAACCTTATTTTCTAACTTCATTTGTCCTTGGGTGTGGACAGCAAATGACACTAATCAGATTTCTAATCAGTCTCCCTGAGTACATTGACATAAACTATTTAACCTCTGGTTAGGGAGGCAATGCAAATCATTTACTCCCAAGTGTCCTTGATTTAGGGAAGACAGCATTTCTGTTCAGTTTCCCTATTCTACTTGTCCTGGCTTACTGGCCTGTCATCCATTCAACTTTCTTTCAACATTTCTCTTTACCTTCCTCCATTACACCAAAGCCATACTTCCCAGTTAGTTAGAACTCTTAGCCTTAATTTTTAGGTGACATGTAAATAATTAACATTCCTCAGATTAGCAATGCATTCATATTTTTTTAAGAGACACAAACAAATTTCACTAGCTAAACAATTTGAAACAAACAACAAAGACATATTTAAACAATAAAGACAGATAACATTCCCCACTAAAAACTTTATAAAAACTTTGAATCACCATGGAAACTCGGGAGAGGTTTAGAAGGGTTTTTAAAAAACAAAACGGAAACATTAACAAACAAAAACACTTTTACACCAGCACTCGCCACATTTACACCACAGAATACCACCAAATCAGTTTCAATTGCTCAGAGATACAGAACAAGTCCCTGATCAGAGGCAGTAGAAAACTGCCTAGGAACACTTCTCTTCTACCTTTTTTTTTAAAAAATTATTTTTATTGATTTCAGAGAGGAAGGGAGAGGGAGAGAGAGATAGAAACATCAATGATGAGAGAGAATCATTGATTGGTTGCCTCCTGCATGCCCCCGACCGGAGATCAAGCCCACAACCCAGGCATGTGCCCTTGACTGGAATCAAACCTGGGACCCTTCAGTCCGAAGGCCGATGCTCTATCCATTGAGCCAAACCAGCCAGGGCTCTTCTACCTTTTTTTTGAAAGACAGGCCAGACTCGAACCCTTAGCCAGTCGGAGTTTTGACTTCCCTCCTGGGAAGTCCTGAAGATGGTGAATACCGTCTAGAAGCCGTTCCTCCAGATCAGTGGTCGGCAAACTGCAGCTCTCGAGCCACATGCGGCTCTTTGGCCCCTTGAGTGTGGCTCTTCCACAGAATACCGACTTCTGCGCATGGGCCACGAAGTTTCAATCGCACTGTACGTGCGCACCTGCACGTGGTATTTTGTGGAAGAGCCACACTCAAGGGGCCAAAGAGCCGCATGTGGCTCGCGAGCCGCAGTTTGCCGACCACTGCTCCAGATGGTCCGAGCTATCCTGAGGTAAATAATTACCTAGGTAGGGGCGAGCTACCTCTTCTGTCCCATAGGACAGGCCAAAACTCGGACCTGTTTCCCCGGGGAAAAACTTAGTTTCAGATGTCTGATTTTGACTTCTTTCCCGGGAAGTCCCAGAAAGGTGTTTTCTGCCTCTTTTGGGTCCGCCAGAGCGTGGAGTTGCTGCAGTCCCTCCAGACCCTATGAGTTCAGGAACCGGCGAATGTGCCGGTGGCGTGCCTTCCTTGGGTCCTGGAGCCTGAAGCAAGTGCCCCGAAGTCTGCTCTTGTCAGCAGTGACCTAAGAGCCAGCTCAACTGATGCTCCCCAGCCAACGCACCAAAGTTGTGGCAGAATGCACGGAAGAACAATCAGTCAGCCCTCTGAAGGAGGAAAGTTTAACCTTTATTTGGCAGATCTAGTCCAGGGGAATTCTGGATCCAAAGCCTGAACTGAACTCATGGGGAGGCTCTGACCTATATATCTCCTCCTGTAGTGGGCCCCTGAGAGTCCCTGCAGCTCCACCCAAGTCAGTCTTGGCAGGGTTTTGGGGGCATGCTCCGCAGCTCCGCCCAAGTCAGCTGTGGTGGGGCCCTGGGGTTAGGCTTTGCAGCTCCGCCCAAGTTTAGTCAGCGTGGGGAAGTAAGACTATAGCTTTTAACCAGATACTGAACTAGGTTGCAAGCCCCCCCCCCCCATTTTCCTTTTCAATAATAGTATTTTCATAACACTTTGTTGCATGAGTCAGAATTCTAGTCAGTTAATTATTTGTCTGATGTTAATCCCACTATTGCTTATGTTCCACTAAAAGAGAGAGTGAATCTGTCTTGGTTGTCATTCTCGCATGTCATTCTAGTATCAGGCATTCCATAAATGTTTTTTCAATGAATGAATGATTGAAAAGCTGTTGCAGTAAACTGTGGAGCTGAATGGATTAATGGAAAGATCCCTGAAATGAAAGACTAGAGATTTGGGTTTGAATTTTAATTTTTTCCCAATTTTTGTATCTTTCAGGATTTGAATTTCTTTATCTGCAAAATTTTATTAGTATTTTTTTAACTTTTTTTTTTTAGATACGTTTTTATTTATTTCAGAGAGAGGAAAGGAGAAGGAGGGATATAGAAACATCCATAATGAAAGACTCAATTGGCTGCCTCCCACAAACCCTTTAATGGGGATTGAACCCGCAACGTGGGCATGTGCTCTGAAAGGGAAATCAAACTGTGACCTCCTGGTTCATGGGTCAATGCTCAACCACAGACACATCAGCCAAGCATGATATTAGTAGTGAAAATACAGTCTCAACCACTGCCAGCATAGACACTCATCAAATCAGAATTCACTGGCAGTATTCAAGTGCCTACCATAATAGTGCTAATTATCATTAGTGTGTTAGGCCCTGGAAATATAACAAAGACTAAAGCAGACATTCTTATTTTTGTAGAGTTTATTTTAGTGGATCTGTTCTTGGTGATCCCTAAGGTTTGTGCCACAAAGATTCTATGACATAAAGTGATGTAGAATAGGTATTCTGTTGTGAAGGTTAAATATATGTTGATATCTTTAAAGGAGCTTAGAAATCCATTTTAATTTGTGTAGTTGAAACTTTTATTTTTGTTTTTCAGACCAAGCCTTATGCATTTGATCGGGTATTCCAGTCAAACACATCGCAAGAGCAAGTGTATAATGACTGTGCAAAGAAGATTGTTAAAGGTGAATATATTTAATCTGCTAAGTTGTCCCGGCAATAAGTAAAATTTTGTTTGCAATCTTGCCATTTACCCAACATTCTCTTTTTCATTTTAATGTCCTTTTTCTTATTTAAACAACTTTTTTTCAGCAATTAACTAGTAAAAAGGTCAAATGTAATTAGTATTTGCCTAAATTCCATGACTTAATTTATATACAGTGCTTAGTGCATGGTGGTGTTGTAAGAATTATAGTATTATACTGTACTGTTATTGAAAGATGCATTTCTCTCTTTTTTTTTAATTTTAATTTTTTTTTGCTAAAAGTTTACAAAGGGTATTACATATGTGTCCTTTTTTTTCCCCCCACCCTTGACAATCCCCTGCCCTCCCTTACCCCCCAGTGTCTTACTTCCATTCATTCTTAACCCAGTAGCCAGAATAGCCTTTTAAGAAATAAATCTGCTTACATGTCTGTTATGGGCTGAATTGTGTCGTCTTTCAAAAGTTTGTAATGGTCTTTATTATCCATGAATGAGTGAGATCATGTGGTATTTTTCCTTCATTGACTGGCTTATTTCACTTAGCATAATGCTCTCCAGTTCCAAGAAAGATGCATTTCTATTAGATATTCCCAGGTTAGTTTCTAAGGTAGCAATTTTAGAAATACAGCAGCATGAGAATGAAAATAAGATAGCTAGATGGGTTTCTAAAAAATAGTCGATAATGGCAGTCATTCTTCCATTTCGTTGTTATTCCTTCCGTAAAGACTTGTAGTCAGCAGAGAAATCTTTGAGTAATTAACCCGAATCACCAGCGGTGAGAAAAGTATTCACATTCCAGGTAATACTGTTAACTTATACTAGGATATTTTTCAATTTCATATTTTCTAAAACCATAGAACTCTAGAGCTGAGTGGGTGTTAAGTGATTATCTGGACTTCTAGTGACATAAATCCCTTTTCTCAAAGAGATCTTACAGTTAAGTAGCCATTATTTTATGATTTATCCCATTTTTTGAAAGCTCTAATTGTTAAAAAAGTTCTGCTTAAATTGGGGTAAAATTTATCTTTTTGTAGCATTCACCAGGGTAGCTAGGTTGGGATTCAGAGGTTAGGATTTAGTAGGAGCACAGACAGTAACAGGAGAGAAGGTAGAGTTTGTTGATAGAAGTAGGTTTATAGATATGATGGAGGGAAAATGTAGATGTTCTCTTCATATTAATTTCGTTTTGTCTATTATATAGGAAGCAAAGTCATCACAGAGTGAGGATGGGGGAGGAGGTTCCAGGAAAGGGTATGAAGTCAGCTGTCTGTCAGTATAGGAGTGAGTGCATTAGGAAAATATGGAAATATTGCCAGGTAGCATGAAGGGCTCACTTGAGGTTAGTTTCCAGAAGAGTTGACTTTACCCAATTGGGGTTTTGCCAGGTGAGTATAAAAGGGGAAGAGACAAGAGAATTGAAGATGTTGTCAAGAGAGTGATGATAATGGTGAACCATGGCATCTAAGGTGGGTGAGAGGAAGGAGGACATAAGGGAGGCACATATGAGGGAAAGGTGTTGTAATTATCTCAATAGAGTCAAAAATTTGTTGAAATCAGGGTCCAAGAAGGAATAATGGGAGGTAGATACTTGAAATTGTGATTAGGGAGGCAGTACAGTTTAATGAAAAGGCCCTACATTGTGACCCTGTAGAGTTGGCATCTAAAGGAGTAAAGAATAATTATGATCATGGAGAAAATTGGATCAAGTATCTGAAAAGCCAGGGTATTTTAGTGGAATCATCTATATTGACATTGAAACCACCAAGAATTAAAATACAAATGTTATTGATGGGAGACAGTGTTCTGGATGCTGAAATCTTCATAAAAAGAGGGAGGATTAAATTGTGATTCTGTAAATGATTGTAACAAAGGAACCAGCAGTGGCAATTTTTGTTGTAATCATCAAATGGTTTTCCATGATGGAACACAATTATATTACATTCTTTGTGATAACATTTGTTATCAGTAAAACCTAAGATTATATTAGCTTTTTCTAATATTATAAAGTAAATGATTCAGATGAACTCCTGGACAATTTAAATGTTCAGGTCTTTTTTACATCTGTTGGAACCAACATGAAACCCCAATCCACACTTGAATATTGAAGTTTTCAATCTGAGTGCAGGTCTTTTAGGTGCAAGTTCCAGTTCATTTTAACTCTTGATGGTATTTTGAGTTTTGTTTTTATAATTATCTTTCTAGGGATCTAAGTCGGCTTTCAGGATATTTGATAAGTCTATTATCGTGTCAAGGACATTGAAGGTTTTTTTAAAGTATGTTTTCATTGATTTGAGAGAGAGGGAGGGAGAGATAGATAGAAACATCAGTGATGAGAGAGAATCATCAATTGGCTGCCTCTTGTATGCCCCCGTGATGGAGCCTGCAACCCGGGCATGTGCCCTTACTGGGAATTGAAACATGACCTTCTGGTTCATGGGTCGAACCTCAACCACTGGGCAACACCTACTGGGTGAAGGTTGTTTTTATTTTAATAAGGTCTTTCTTTAAGGATTGAAGCTTGAACAATGTTACTCTAAAGTCATTTATAAAATGCTTAATGGACCATGGTCCTTAGCCAAATCTTCTAAAAACTGGACAGATTATTGTCAGTTAAATAAACCATACTTTATATTCAACCACCTTCAGATTCTCTCCCCTATACAGTTATTTAGTTCTTAGCTCTCAACATATGCACAAGAATATGATGAAAATTTTGGATTTTATGAAATTGTGGGACACGACTGGTATTTCTCCAAAGTACCAATTGAGTGACTCTATCCAAACAGGAAATGAGGTTAGTTCATCCATAGCTTTTCCTTGGTGGAATTTTGATATCTTGTCTGCAGTGCCTAGAATAATTTTCCCTTCTTTTGAAAGAAGTATAATGTCTATGGCTTCTAAAACTTACATACAGTAGCTGTACAATTTTGGTCTATTTTCTTATAACTAAAAACTTTGATTCGCCCTGACCGGTTTGGCTCAGTGGATAGAGCGTCAGCCTGCGGACTGAAGGGTCCCAGGTTCGATTCCAGTCAAGGGCATGTACCTTGGTTGCAGGAGGCAGCTGATTGATGTTTCTCTCTCATCGATATTTCTAACTCTCTATCTCTTTCCCTTCCTCTCTATAAAAAAATCAATAAAATATATTTAAAAAAACAGCAAACAAACTTTGATTCATTTAAAACTATTCTTTGACTGTCCTACCTCAACCTGAAAGTCTCTTGACAGTGTTTATCCTGTTCCACTTTCAGACATTGTTGGAGAAGATAGTAATAAAATAGGAATACCTCTTCTGTATTAGGTCATATGTTAATATTTTGTCATCTTTTCTAGGTAATGCAGGTTTCATTCATTATTCTTTTTTTGCATATTTTGAAAGCTCTTTTTAGGGCCTTAATTTTTGTTTTGTTTTGTAAGGTATAATTATAGTGGGTTTTTACTTTTCTTATACTATTTCATTGATTTTTATCTCTTTTGTATATGCTCAATTAGTCTTTTCATAATCTCATATATAACTTTCTGAGAACTCTTTGAAATCTATTGTCCTGAAGTCTAGGGTACATGTTTCTACTCCTTTTGTTCTGTTTTATTACTGTTTACAATTCTAAGGTGACATCATTTTTTTTCCCCTGACTTTTTCTTCCTTTTCTCAAAATGTTGGTCTCTTTTACTTCATCAGCAAGTTCCTGCTTTCCTGTTTGGAATCAAGTTCTGAACAGTGGTTCTCTTTCTTTTACTTATTTAAACTTAACTTTTTTTATTCTTTTTTAAATCTTTGTTGTTGAGAGTATTACAGATGTCCCCCTCTTTTCTCCCTATTGACCCCCTCCACCCAGTTCCCACCCACCCCAGGCCTTCACCACCTTATTGTCTGTGTCCATAGGTAATGCATGTATGCATATAAGATCTTTGGTTAATTTTTCCCAGCCCAACCCCTCTGAGATTCCTCAGTCTGTTCCATGTTTCCATGCCTGTGATTCTATTTTATTCATCATTTCATTTTGTTCATTCGATTTCTTGTTCATTTATTTTGATTTTTAGATTCAATAGTTGCTAGATATGTATTTATCCCATTTTATTGTTCATATTTTTTATCTTCTTCTTCTACCTCTTCTTAAAGAATACTCTTCAACAATTCATGTAATACTGATTTGGTGGTGATGAACCCCTTTAGCTTTTTCTTATCTGTGAAGTTCTTTATCTGACCTTCAATTCTAAATGATAGCTTGACTGGGGAATCTTCCTTGTAGGCCCTTGCTTTTCATCACTTTGAATATTTCTTGACACTCCCTTCTGGCCTACAAAGTTTCTGTTGAGAAATAAGCTGACCTTTGTATGGGTGCCCCCTTGTAGGTGATTAATAACTGCTTTTCTCTTGGTGCTTTTAAGATTCTCTTTTGTCTTTAACCTTTCACATTTTAATTATGATTATCTTGGTTTGGGCCTCTTTGGGTTAATCTTGTTTGGGACTCTGCTTTCTGGATTTGTAAGTCAATTTCTTTCACAAAGTAGGGGAAGTTTTCTGTCATTATTCAAATAGGTTTTCAATATCTTGCTCTCTCTTCTTGTGGCTCCCCCACGATGTGAATGTTGGTACCTGTGAAGTTGTCCCAGGGCTCCTTACACTATCTTCATAGTTTTGATTATTTTTTTCTTTTTGCTCTTCAGCTTGGGTGTTTTTTGCTTCCTCATATTCCAAATCGTTGATTTGATTCTCAGCATCCTCTACTCTACTGTTGAATCCCTTTAAATTATTCTTTATTTCAGTTAGTGTATGCTTAATTTCCAACTGGTCCTTTTTCATGTCTTTGACATTCTCACTAAGATCCTTGAAAGTCTCACTTAAGTCCCTTGCAGCTCTCATTAAGTCCATTAAAGCTCTCATTGAAATCATTGAGTAACTTTATAACTATTGTTTTGAACTCTGTATCAGATAGTTTGCTTGCTTCCATTTCTTTCATTTGTAACATGTTTCTTTGTC